CTGGGGTGACTTTGTGTTGTGCGTGACGTAGCACTTGCCCCTACAGCCCTGCTAGAGGCTACCTGGGGTAACTTTGTCTGTGTCTCAGCACTTGCCCCTAGATCCCTGCTAGAGGCTACCTGGGGTGACTTTGTCTGTGTTGTGCGTGACGTAGCACTTGCCCCTACAGCCCTGCTAGAGGCTACCTGGGGTGACTTTGTCTGTGTTGTGCGTGACGTAGCACTTGCCCCTACAGCCCTGTTGGAGGCTACCTGGGGTGACTTTGTCTGTGTTGTGCGTGTCTCAGCACTTGCCCCTACAGCTGTGGAGGCTACCTGGGGTGACTTTGTCTGTGTTGTGCGTGACGTAGCACTTGCCCCTACAGCCCTGCTAGAGGCTACCTGGGGTGACTTTGTCTGTGTTGTGCGTGACGTAGCACTTGCCCCTACAGCCCTGCTAGAGGCTACCTGGGGTGACTTTGTGTTGTGCGTGACGTAGCACTTGCCCCTACAGCCCTGCTAGAGGCTACCTGGGGTAACTTTGTCTGTGTCTCAGCACTTGCCCCTAGATCCCTGCTAGAGGCTACCTGGGGTGACTTTGTCTGTGTTGTGCGTGACGTAGCACTTGCCCCTACAGCCCTGCTAGAGGCTACCTGGGGTGACTTTGTCTGTGTTGTGCGTGACGTAGCACTTGCCCCTACAGCCCTGTTGGAGGCTACCTGGGGTGACTTTGTCTGTGTTGTGCGTGTCTCAGCACTTGCCCCTACAGCTGTGGAGGCTACCTGGGGTGACTTTGTCTGTGTTGTGCGTGACGTAGCACTTGCCCCTACAGCCCTGCTAGAGGCTACCTGGGGTGACTTTGTCTGTGTTGTGCGTGACGTAGCACTTGCCCCTACAGCCCTGCTAGAGGCTACCTGGGGTGACTTTGTCTGTGTTGTGCGTGACGTAGCACTTGCCCCTACAGCCCTGCTAGAGGCTACCTGGGGTGACTTTGTCTGTGTTGTGCGTGACGTAGCACTTGCCCCTACAGCCCTGTTGGAGGCTACCTGGGGTGACTTTGTGTTGTGCGTGTCTCAGCACTTGCCCCTACAGCTGTGGAGGCTACCTGGGGTGACTTTGTCTGTGTTGTGCGTGACGTAGCACTTGCCCCTACAGCCCTGCTAGAGGCTACCTGGGGTGACTTTGTCTGTGTTGTGCGTGTCTCAGCACTTGCCCCTACAGCTGTAGAGGCTACCTGGGGTGACTTTGTCTGTGTTGTGCGTGTCTCAGCACTTGCCCCTACAGCTGTAGAGGCTACCTGGGGTGACTTTGTCTGTGTTGTGCGTGACGTAGCGCCGCCCGTGCTGGTGCTGGGCTATGAGCGCTGCGCCGAGCGCCGCCGCCGCCGCTGGACGCCCGCCGGGGGCGGTGCCGGGGGCGGTGCCGGCGGCGGTGCCGGGGGCGGTGCCGCCGGGGGCGGCTTCCAGCGGCGTCTGCGGCTTGCCGCCGGCTCTCTGGCGGTGACGTACAGCACGACAGCCATAGACAGCACCACAGCCTTCTTCACTGCAGCACGTGTGGGGGGTGAGTGGGGGGGTGGGGGGGGGGGTGGGTGGGTGGGTGGGGGGGTGAGTGGGGGGGTGGGTGAGTGGGTGGGTGGGTGAGTGGGTGGGTGGGTGAGTGGGTGGGTGAGTGAGTGGGTGGGTAAGTGGGTTTGCTGAGTGGGTGAGTGAGTGAATGGGTGAGTGGGTGGGTGAGTGAGTGGGTGGGTAAGTGGGTTTGCTGAGTGGGTGAGTGAGTGAATGGGTGAGTGGGTGGGTGAGTGGGTGGGTGAGTGGGTGGGTGAGTGAGTCGGTGAGTGGGTGGGTGGGTTAGTGGGTGAGTGAGTGGGTGAGTGGGTGGGTGAGTGAGTCGGTGAGTGGGTGAGTGGGTTAGTGGGTGAGTGGGTCGGTGAGTGGGTGGGTGAGTGAGTCGGTGAGTGGGTGGGTGGGTTAGTGGGTGAGTGGGTGGGTGAGTGGGTAGGTGATCTTTCCCTCCCTCCCTCCAGGTTCCTCTGCCACTGTGGGTGGCGGTGTGGGTGGTGGTGGTGTGGGTGGTGGTGGTGTGGGTGGCCACGGACGACCCAAGGACCGTCACGGACTGTGGGGTCTTCTGCTGCCCGCACACCACCACCAGGTGAGACAAAGACGGCCGGGTCAGGTTCACCATGGCCAGGTGAGACAAAGACGGCCAGGTGAGGTTCACCATGGCCAGGTGAGGTTCACCATGGCCAGGTGAGGTTCTGTGGCTGTGCTAGGCGGTGAGGATGGAAGTTGTTGATGTTGTTGATGTTGGTGATGATGTTGATGATGATGATGTTGTTGTTGATGTTGTTGTTGATGTTGTTGTTGATGTTGTTGTTGATGTTGTTGTTGATGTTGTTGTTTAAGTCTCCGTGGCTGCGCTGGGCGGTGAGGATGGAAGTTGTGGTGTTGTTGTTGATGCTGTTGATGTTGTTGTTGATGTTGTTGTTGTTGGTGATGTTGTTGATGTTGTTGATGTTGTTGTTGATGTTGTTGTTGATGTTGTTGATGTTGTTGATGATGTTGTTGATGTTGTTGATGTTGTTGTTGATGTTGTTGTTTAAGTCTCCGTGGCTGCACTGGGCGGTGAGGATGGAAGTTGTGGTGTTGGTGTTGTTGTTGTTGATGTTGTTGTTGATGTTGTTGATGTTGTTGTTGATGATGTTGTTGATGTTGTTGATGTTGTTGTTGATGTTGTTGATGTTATTGTTGATGATGTTGTTGTTGATGATGTTGTTGTTGTTGTTGATGTTGATGTTGTTGATGTTGTTGTTGTTTAAGTCTCCGTGGCTGCACTGGGCGGTGAGGATGGAAGTTGTGGTGTTGGTGTTGTTGTTGTTGATGTTGTTGTTGATGTTGTTGATGTTGTTGTTGATGATGTTGTTGATGTTGTTGATGTTGTTGATGTTGTTGTTGATGATGTTGTTGTTGATGTTGTTGTTGATGTTGTTGTTGTTGTTGATGTTGTTGATGATGTTGTTGTTGATGTTGTTGTTAATGTTGTTGATGTTGTTGTTGATGTTGATGATGTTGTTGTTGATGTTGTTGTTGATGTTGTTGTTTAAGTCTCCGTGGCTGCGCTGGGCGGTGAGGATGGAAGTTGTTGTTGATGTTGTTGATGTTGATGTTGTTGTTTAAGTCTCCGTGGCTGCGCTGGGCGGTGAGGATGGAAGTTGGAGCTCCCCGCCTCAGCTTCCCCCACGATCTCCGCGACGAAAACTCCACCACTGTCGTTGTGGACCTGGGACGCATGCTGCTGACCAATCACGTGGGTGAGTGTGCCGCTGACCAATCACACTGCTGACCAATCACGTGGGTGAGTGTGCCGCCGACCAATCACGCGGGTGAGTGTGCCGCTGACCAATCACAGCGGTGAGTGTGCTGCTGACCAATCACGTGGGTGAGTGTGCCACTGACCAATCACAGCGGTGAGTGTGCTGCTGACCAATCACGTGGGTGAGTGTGCTGCTGACCAATCACGTGGGTGAGTCTGCCGCTGACCAATCACAGCGGTGAGTGTGCCGCTGACCAATCACGTGGGTGAGTGTGCCACTGACCAATCACGCTGCTGACCAATCACGTGGGTGAGTGTGCCGCTGACCAATCACAGCGGTGAGTGTGCTGCTGACCAATCACGTGGGTGAGTGTGCCACTGACCAATCACAGCGGTGAGCGTGCCGCTGACCAATCACGTGGGTGAGTGTGCTGCTGACCAATCACGTGGGTGAGCGTGCTGCTGACCAATCACAGCGGTGAGTGTGCCGCCGACCAATCACGCAGGCGCATGCTGCTGACCAATCACGTGGGTGAGTGTGCTGCTCACCAATCACGTGGGTGAGTGTGCCGCTGACCAATCACGCGGGTGAGTGTGATTGGTGGTGAGCGACTGACTGACTGAGTGACTGACTGACGGAGCGACTGACTGAGTGAGTGACTGACTGACTGAGCGACTGACTGACTGAGCGACTGACTGAGCGACTGAGTGACTGAGTGACTGACTGACTGAGTGAGTGAATGACTGAGTGAGCGACTGACTGAGTGACTAAGTGACTGACTGACTGACTGAGTGACTGACTGAGTGACTGACTGAGTGACTGAGTGACTGAGTGAGTGACTGACTGAGTGACTGACTGACTAAGTGACTGACTGAGTGACTGACTGACTAAGTGACTGACTAAGTGATTGAGTGACTGACTGAGTGACTGACTGAGTGACTGACTGAGTGACTGACTGACTGAGTGACTGACTGAGTGACTGACTGAGTGACTGAGTGACTGACTGAGTGACTGACTGAGTGACTGACTGACTGAGTGACTGACTGAGTGACTGACTAAGTGACTAACTGACTAACTGACTGACTAAGTGACTGACTGACTGACTGACTAAGTGACTGACTGACTAAGTGACTGACTGAGTGAGTGACTGACTGAGTGACTGACTAAGTGACTGAGTGACTGACTGAGTGACTGACTGAGTGACTGACTGACTAAGTGACTGAGTGACTAAGTAACTGACTGAGTGACTGACTGAGTGACTGACTAAGTGACTGACTGAGTGACTGACTGAGTGACTGACTGACTGACTGAGTGACTAAGTAACTGACTGAGTGACTGACTGAGTGACTGACTGAGTGACTGACTGACTGACTGACTAAGTGACTGACTGAGTGACTAAGTGACTGAGTGACTGACTAAGTGACTGACTAAGTGACTGACTGACTGAGTGACTGACTAAGTGACTGAGTGACTGACTGAGTGACTGACTGACTGACTGACTAAGTGACTGAGTGACTAAGTAACTGACTGAGTGACTGACTGACTGACTGAGTGACTAAGTAACTGACTGAGTGACTGACTGAGTGACTGACTGAGTGACTGACTGACTGACTAAGTGACTGACTGACTGAGTGACTAAGTGACTGAGTGACTGACTAAGTGACTGACTAAGTGACTGACTGACTGAGCGACTGAGTGATTGACTGACTAAGTGACTGAGTGACTGACTGAGTGACTGACTGACTGACTGACTGAGTGACTGACTGAGTGAGCGACTGAGTGACTGACTAAGTGACTGACTGAGTGACTGACTAAGTGACTGACTAAGTGACTGACTGAGTGACTGACTAAGTGACTGAGTGACTGACTAAGTGACTGACTAAGTGACTGACTGAGTGACTGACTAAGTGACTGAGTGACTGACTAAGTGACTGACTGAGTGACTGACTGACTGAGTGAGTGCCTGAGTGACTGACTGACTGAGTGACTGACTGACTGAGTGACTAAGTCACTGACTGAGTGACTGACTGACTAACTGACTGACTGAGTGACTGACTGAGTGACTGACTAAGTGACTAAGTCACTGACTGAGTGACTGACTGACTGACTGACTAAGTGACTGACTAACTGACTGACTGAGTGACTGAGTGAGTGAGCGACTGACTAAGTGACTGAGTGACTGACTGACTGAGTGACTGACTGAGTGAGTGACTGACTGACTGACTAAGTGACTGACTAAGTCACTGAGTGACTGACTAACTAAGTGACTTACTGACTGACTGACTAAGTGACTGAGTGACTGACTGAGTGACTGACTAACTGAGTGACTGACTGAGTGACTGACTGACTGACTGACTAAGTGACTGAGTGACTGACTGAGTGACTGACTGACTGACTAAGTGACTGAGTGACTGACTAAGTGACTGACTGACTGACTGAGTGACTAAGTAACTGACTGACTGAGTGACTGACTAAGTGACTGAGTGACTGACTGACTGACTGACTGAGTGACTAAGTAACTGACTGACTGAGTGACTGACTAAGTGACTGAGTGATTGACTAAGTGACTGACTGACTGAGTGACTAAGTAACTGACTGACTGAGTGACTGACTAAGTGACTGAGTGACTGACTAAGTGACTGACTGAGTGACTGACTGACTAAGTGACTAAGTGACTGACTGACTAAGTGACTGAGTGACTAAGTAACTGACTGAGTGACTGACTGAGTGACTGACTGACTGACTGAGTGACTAAGTAACTGACTGAGTGACTGACTGAGTGACTGACTGACTGACTAAGTGACTGACTGAGTGACTAAGTGACTGAGTGACTGACTAAGTGACTGACTAAGTGACTGACTGACTGACTAAGTGACTGACTGACTGAGCGACTGAGTGATTGACTGACTAAGTGACTGAGTGACTGACTGAGTGACTGACTGACTGACTAAGTGACTGACTGAGTGACTGACTGAGTGAGCGACTGAGTGACTGAGTGACTGACTAAGTGACTGACTGAGTGACTGACTAAGTGACTGACTAAGTGACTGACTGAGTGACTGACTAAGTGACTGAGTGACTGACTAAGTGACTGACTAAGTGACTGACTGAGTGACTGACTAAGTGACTGAGTGACTGACTAAGTGACTGACTGAGTGACTGACTGACTGACTGAGTGAGTGCCTGAGTGACTGACTGACTGAGTGACTAAGTCACTGACTGAGTGACTGACTGAGTGACTGACTAACTGACTGACTGAGTGACTGACTGAGTGACTGACTAAGTGACTAAGTCACTGACTGAGTGACTGACTGACTGACTGACTAAGTGACTGACTAACTGACTGACTGAGTGACTGAGTGAGTGAGCGACTGACTAAGTGACTGAGTGACTGACTGAGTGACTGACTGAGTGAGTGACTGACTGACTGACTAAGTGACTGACTAAGTCACTGAGTGACCGACTAACTAAGTGACTTACTGACTGACTGACTAAGTGACTGAGTGACTGACTGAGTGACTGACTGAGTGACTGACTGAGTGACTGACTGACTGACTGACTAAGTGACTGAGTGACTGACTGAGTGACTGACTGACTGACTAAGTGACTGACTAAGTGACTGAGTGACTGACTAAGTGACTGACTGACTGACTAAGTAACTGACTGACTGAGTGACTGACTAAGTGACTGAGTGACTGACTAAGTGACTGACTGACTGACTGAGTGACTAAGTAACTGACTGAGTGACTGACTGAGTGACTGAGTGACTGACTGACTGACTAAGTGACTGACTGACTGAGTGACTAAGTGACTGAGTGACTGACTAAGTGACTGACTAAGTGACTGACTGACTGACTAAGTGACTGACTGACTGAGCGACTGAGTGATTGACTGACTAAGTGACTGAGTGACTGACTGAGTGACTGACTGACTGACTAAGTGACTGACTGAGTGACTGACTGAGTGAGCGACTGAGTGACTGAGTGACTGACTAAGTGACTGACTGACTGAGTGACTGACTAAGTGACTGACTGAGTGACTGACTAAGTGACTGAGTGACTGACTAAGTGACTGAGTGACTGACTAAGTGACTGACTAAGTGACTGACTGAGTGACTGACTAAGTGACTGAGTGACTGACTAAGTGACTGACTGAGTGACTGACTGACTGACTGAGTGAGTGCCTGAGTGACTGACTGACTGAGTGACTGACTGACTGAGTGACTAAGTCACTGACTGAGTGACTGACTGAGTGACTGACTAACTGACTGACTGAGTGACTGACTGAGTGACTGACTAAGTGACTAAGTCACTGACTGAGTGACTGACTGACTGACTAAGTGACTGACTAACTGACTGACTGAGTGACTGAGTGAGTGAGCGACTGACTAAGTGACTGAGTGACTGACTGAGTGAGTGACTGACTGACTGACTAAGTGACTGACTAAGTCACTGAGTGACTGACTAACTAAGTGACTTACTGACCGACTGACTAAGTGACTGAGTGACTGACTGAGTGACTGACTGAGTGACTGACTGAGTGACTGACTGACTGACTAAGTGACTGAGTGACTGACTGAGTGACTGACTGACTGACTAAGTGACTGACTAAGTGACTGAGTGACTGACTAAGTGACTGACTGACTGAGTGACTAAGTAACTGACTGACTGAGTGACTGACTAAGTGACTGACTGACTGACTGAGTGACTAAGTAACTGACTGACTGAGTGACTGACTAAGTGACTGAGTGATTGACTAAGTGACTGACTGACTGAGTGACTAAGTAACTGACTGACTGAGTGACTGACTAAGTGACTGAGTGACTGACTAAGTGACTGACTGAGTGACTGACTGACTAAGTGACTAAGTGACTGACTGAGTGACTGACTGAGTGACTGACTAAGTGACTAAGTGAGTGACTGACTGACTGACTAAGTCACTGAGCGACTCCTCTCGTCGTT